AGAGAGAGAGAGAGAGAGAGAGAGAGAGAGAGAGAGAGGACAACATACACATATAACTTTAAATATAGGTACCACGTGATACTTTTGGGGTCTAGCATATTTCACTTAACACAATAGTTTTTAGTTGTACCCACACTTACAGATGCCATAATTTCCTTTTTCTTTGTAGCTTCATGAAATTGTATATGTGTCTTTATTAATTCAGCTGGTAATGGACATCTAGGCTGTTTCTTTGGCTTGGCTTTTGTATTCTAACGAATTTTATTATTCTAATGAACTTTATTATTCTATATAAATGACTCAATGATGGTATATTTTAAATATCATGAACTTTCAATTTGTTTTCAGTTTTTATAATTATTTCACAAAAATTCACTTTAAATATGATCACATGTCTCATCTTTAATTCCTTTTTTGTGTCATGTAATGCATTAAGATACATTATACCAGGTCCTATAAGGATGACTGTCTGTCCAGTGAGAACTTTAAATACTGCTCATAATCTAAAACCTAAAATGATTAAAATATTATATGAGATTTCTTTTTAGCTGTGTGTATATGGCTCACAAATGGATTTCATGTTTAGACTTAGTTCCTATCCTCAAAATGTATCATATGTATTTTAAAATCTAAAAAAATAGAAAATCTGGAGCAAGACATCGTTTTTGAAGAGTACTATCTGTTTATCATTTCTCTCTCTCTAATTTCTATCTATCTACCTACCTACTCACTTATCCATTCATCTTTCGTCTATATCAAACTGCAAAATCTTGTTAAAGTGTATTTAAAAACTGACCAAGATTCCAGAATTAAGTAGCTACTTGTGAACCAAAATGAAGAAGGCATCCTAGGGGAAGGGAAGAGCGTTAACAAGGAATGGAGAGACCAGGATTCTACTTGCAATTTTACATTACCTGGGCAAGGGTGCTAGGACAAGTCACTTCTGCTTCAGGCTTACTCTTTGGGTCAACAGGAACTTGAGGACAGAAAGGTATAGGGCGTCAACAAGAGTAGGCTGTCTGAGTGACAAACTGGTGGCTTGTAGCAACTGCAAGCAGACAGAGACGCTTCCTCATCCCTTCATCATAACTCACCACATCACTTTTGAGCTTGGGAGAAAGTTAAATTTTTATAAGTGGCAATATAACTCTGTTGGTACAGAGCACTGCCTTCTCTTTGTCATAATGTCCTTATATTAGCTTTCACATGAACTGCTAGACATTCTTCTATGGGCCCCAGGCATGTGTTCCAACTATTTCACCTCATTGTTCAATGAGGAGGTCCTCACCTGTTCTAAGCATTAGGTACTCTACTAAATGCATGGCAGCATCTCACTGTGTTCTGAATTACTCTTCCCCGATAAATAATGATGCTGGATGTTTTTTGTAGGAACTTTGGGTGTCTTGTTGAATGGCATAACCATTTAATGCTGTGGTCCACTTAAAAAAAATGGACTGTTTTACTTATTAGTTTGCAGGCTATATGATTTGTAAATTAAAATAACTGATGTTTTAAGCCAGAAGAGAATTTAATTACAATTATTTCATGTATTGTCATAGTGTTCATTTTTGGAAAAGGCTAATCATTGCTAGTCTGGTCAGTTTTTCTTCCAGGGTGGAAAAAGATAGCACATTTTAGCAGAAAAAATTATTTTAGGCCTAGAATAAAGGCAGTGCCCATCCCCTCAGTGTCGATCCTCTCTGCATATGTAGTTTTCCTTTTGACAAACAGACCTTGATAAGCGGGCCTTGTGTTTCATGATGTGCATTTCCCAGGATATCCTGGGTAATGGTTGATAATTCTATTTTTGGTAGTCACAAAAGTGTGTCACTGTCAGTCAAAGAATAGAAGCCAAGAACCCTTACTTTCTAAACCCTCTGAGAATAGAGATCAGAAAGGACTTCCTTGGTCTAGCATAATGATTAATTTAAAAACATAGTTTTATTAAATTTTTGACAATTTTATATATTTTCATTATATTCACTTCCTACTCCTCCACTCCTCCCTCAGGCCCTCCCACATATATCTCCACGTCTTTACCCTGTCCTTTTTTTTTTTTTTGGTAGCCCATTAACTCAAATTTATTCTACCCTTCCACCAGAGTGTGGTTCACCCACCAGGAGCCACATTTTAAAGGAAGACGACTGTTTCCTCCTGAGTGGTAATGGATATCTTTAGCTCTCCAGTGATAAATAGAGGCTTGTCAACTCCTTCTACTCTATGCTAGCACACTGACTGGCTTGATCCCTTGAAGGTCTTCTGCAGGCAACCATAGCTGCTATGAGTTCATGAGTTCCATGCCCCTGGAATGTCCAGAGGACAGTTTTCCTCTGGTCCTCCCTGGCCTCAGGCTCTTACAATCTTTCCAGTTCCATTTCTACAGGGGTGCTTGAGCCTGGGGTAGGGGGTGTGTGACATCAATGTTCCATTTGTGGCTAGAAAAATGTGTGACTTTTCTCTGCACACTTGTTCTCTGCACTTTAACTAGTTGTGTGTTTCTTGTTAACCACTGTCCACTGCACCAAAGTTCACTGGTCTACAGGAAGAGAGACACAAATTAAGAGACAGTTTGATACTTTGTTCATTTAGGAGACTAACAGTAGTGGGTTCAACCCTGGAGCCTGTGAGGTCCCCAACTATAGGTTTTTGGTCTGATTACAGTACCAGACATGGCTTTGCTCCTAAGAGTGAATCTTAAAGTCCAATCAGGCAGTAGTTGGTTAGTCCTCTCCTATCATGTGTTTAAATTCTGGTCATCAGTCTTGGAAGCAAGAGCCTTTCAGTTGAGCAATCTCAAAAACTCTACTTTATAGAATATACAGACTAAATACAGACACTACTTTCTGCCTATGTCATGGAAAAAAAAAAAAGAAAAAAGGCAACCATAAGTATTTTGTTGAAAGTATTTTTCTTTTTCTTTTTGAGAGAACCAATCCACACAATGCAAATGTTGTAACAGTACATGTGCACACATGTACACACACACACACACACACACACACACACACACACACACAGAGAGAGAGAGAGAGAGAGAGAGAGAGGTTGGGGGGGAAGCTTGAGGATAGTTCCTCCTTGTAGGAGTTAGGTAAGAAGAATGTGGTTTTAGTAAAGGGTGGTGGAAGGCAAAGGCTCTGGGTAATGAGAAGGGCCAGTCATATTTCTAAGTAACTTGACATTTTTGAAATAGTTTTCTCTGTCATCATTTTAATGAACATGAGCTATGTGCTCAATGACATGAAGGAGTGAAAGGACCTATAATGTCAATCTCTGGTAAGGAAATACAACCCCATGATGGCAACTCAACTGTAGGTGCTGTTTAGGCTTTGTCAACTTGACACAAACCTAGACATATCTAGGAAAAGGGAATCTCAGTCGAGTAACAGCCCACATCAGATTGGCCTGTGGGCAACCGGTAAAGATGGGCTCAGTCTGGAAAAGTAGAAGGATGTAAGAAAAGTAGCTAGACAAGATAGGGAAAGCAAGCCAATAACCAGCATTCCTTCATGGTCTGTGCTTCATTTCCTGCCTCCAGGCTCCTGCCTTAAGCTCCTGCCCTGACTTTTCTCCATGATAGATTGTAAACTATACACAGAGACAAACCCTTTCACCACCAAGCTGCTTTCAGTCAGTGTTTTTATGACAGCAGTAGAAAGCTTATGTGGACTGACTATAGACAAGGAAGCACAGAGCCAAGTTATAGGACGCAAAGAACAGTCAGTGGGAAAAGAGGATGATAACCTTCAGATCAAGGCCACAAAGGGCAGTTTGGAAAGACAGAGATGGGGAGGAGGGAGCTAAGACAGGCAGAGTTTGGAAGGGGCAGTTGGAGAGAGACCAGCTGGAAGCAAATGGCAACAGGTAAGAGATGAAATGGTGTCCCAAGAAGTTGGCACCTTGGGAAGATTCATGTTGTGACCACAGAAATTGTCACAAAACGCTTTCAAAGTCAACTCCAGGAAGGCATGACTCTGTTCTGTTGAGTGGAAAGTACAGGTCGCAAATTGTCCTGTCTATGCCAGCTTCTCATCTCTTTGTTGTTGTTACAGGGAAGCGTGTTTAACACCTGGAAACCCATGTGGGTTGTACTGTTAGAAGACGGAATTGAATTTTATAAGAAGAAAAGTGACAACAGCCCCAAGGGGATGATCCCACTGAAAGGAAGTACTCTCACTAGCCCCTGTCAAGACTTTGGCAAACGGATGGTGAGTTGATACCATGAGCCATCAAGACCCTTGTGTCATCTGTTGACCTTGGATGCTCTTTTCAAATTCTGCCTCTCCTAGCTCTCTGCTCCCCTCTCCACTCTTAAGGCTCAGTTTATGGGCCTAGCTGTGTCACCTGCTGACCTTGGAGTCTGTCTGATGTTAGCTTTCTGAATAAACATCCCCTCTTGTCAACATCTCTTTGTTATCCTGACATTGGGCTCTTTTTTTTGCTAGAACAGGTTTGTATCAACCGCTGTTTCATGAAGAGCCTTAGACCTTGAAGGGGGCCATTTCTAATGGAATATCTTTTGATTTTTCAGTTCGTGTTAAAAATCACTACAACCAAACAACAGGACCACTTCTTCCAGGCAGCCTTCTTGGAGGAGAGAGATGCTTGGGTTCGGGACATCAAGAAAGCCATTAAATGCATTGAAGGAGGCCAAAAGTTTGCAAGAAAATCCACAAGGCGGTCCATTCGTCTACCAGAGACAATTGACTTGGGGTAATTTTTTGAGTTTGGCTTTCTCTACTCTTTGACAGTAGTAATAGAGAGATGGGAGGGAACCACAGGTAATCCTAGGCCCCAGTAGGGACTGGGAAATGGGTTCTTTGCAGTGTTCTTTACATCTGCTCTTATCACAAGTGCTTCTTTCTCCAGGATGGCCATTCCTCTTGGTATATTTTCCTTTTGTGTTAAGCATGGCCTGAAACTAGAGACTCATTAGAAAGAATTTCACGTTGGCTGCTTAAATGTCTGATAAGAATTCAGTTCACGTAGGGTAGAGTTGAAAGTGGTCTCTGAGAGGTGACAAAACACATACTTACTGTACAACTAATGTAAGAGTTGGCATGCCACAGGAATAGAATCATGTTGAGCTTCATGAGACTTAGCACTTCTCTCACATGGGTAAGGTCCCAAGAGAAGAAATCTGGTCTGGTCATAGCTACTGGTTTCAGACATCATGTGATTGGCTGGTACTGTCAGAGTTAAGTGGGGAAAGATGCTCAAACTACAAGGGAACACAGAGACTTAGAATTATTCCAACGAGGCTACTTTTAGTTTATTATTCTGAGAACAAAAAGTAAGAGGCCACTCTTACCTTACCACTTTCAGAGAAAAAAAAAGATAAGCTTTTTAAAAAATCATTTTCTTTAAGGCAACTGTAGGGTAACCAATGGCCTGCTGAAAAGCTTGTGAGAAATTGGGAGACTTATCTTTCCATTGCTTTAACAAATATCTAAAAGAACCAACTTAGGAAAGGGAGATATAGTGGGTCCAAGTATGTCACTTGACTTTTGCCTTTAGTTCCATAGTGGTGGTTGGGGGCCAGTATCATGGCATACATAATTCATATAGCTTATCTGTCTACTTTGTAGTTGAGGTATAAAAGAAAGTATTTGGATTCCTATATCTTCATTTGGAGAATGTCCACAAATAACTTAAAGAGTGTGTGTACATGTGTGTGCACCTGCAGGTGGGTCCATGTGCATATATATACATATATATGCATTTGGAGGCTGGAGGCTGATTTCAGACACCTTTCTCAAGTGCTCTCCTCTTGACTATTGAGCCAAGGTCTCTCACTAAACCTGGAGCCCACTGACTCACTTAGTTAGATTAGCTGGCCAGCCTCACACAATGATCCTCCTGTCTCTATCCCCATAGTGCTGACATTACAAGGTACCGTGTCCCACTTCCTCTATGAGAGCTGGGGATCCAAACTCAGGTCTTCAGGCTTCCCTGGAAAGCACTTTACTAAAAGAGCCACCCCTTCCCTGACCACATTTCTTGAAACTTCAATCACCTCTGAACAGCACCAAGCTGGGTACAAGCCTTTCAGGTATAGGTGTTTGCAGGACTTGCTAGATCCAAACTATTGCAGGGCCTTTAAAGATCTTTGTTCCTGCTGACATGGCCCTGGGAACTCCTAACCTTTAGCAAATAATAGGACAACTCTTCATCTCAGGCACCAGGATGAAATCAAACAAGCAGATTAATGAATTTCAGGGATATTATGCACATCTGTTAAATGTTTTGGTTTTGCAGGCCATGTGATTATGCAAGTTGGAACACTGCCCTTTAACTACTGCTCTTCTGACAGAGTAGGCTCAGGGCTACACTCCTGAGTGGGGAAACTTAGCTTGGGAAGGCCTATCTAATGTGGTTCATGGTTCTGAAAGGCTCCTCCTTCATCTCTGTTTGATCTGCACAGGGCTTTGTATCTGTCTATGAAAGACCCTGAAAAAGGAATAAAGGAACTGAATCTGGAGAAGGACAAGAAGGTTTTTAATCACTGCTTCACAGGTAAAATGTTGTGCCCTCCCCACGTGGGCAGCTAGGAGGGGATGTGGCATTCTCCTTTGGTCGTCTATGTGTAGTGGGTGGGGTGCACAAGACCGAGGGGTGCACAAGACCGAGGAGTGCAGACCTGTGAACAAGAGAAAAGGACTCTGCCTGTGTTGAAAGAGTAATAATGGAAGAAAAAGCCTTTGTTTTTGTTCAAGACTCCAGAATCACAGCTATATTGACCAAGCATCTCTTTTCTCTAATATTTAGCATAATGTTGAAAAAGTATTGGAAAAGGGCACAGCTTGATGTACTGCAACCCATGCTGTGATAAACAAGAATTCAGGTCCATGTATAAAAATCTAAATAGTAATGTTAGGGTGTCAGACACTGTAAGGTATTTGGTGTTTATGACGTGTGGCTTACCTGTGAAAACACATTCACTAAAAACACACTGCCTGGTTTTGAACCCTGGATCTGCAGCATACTACCCACAACCCCCCAGACAATAGTCATTCTGTGCTTTCCATCTGTACAGTAGGGAAAAGCAGAGTGTACCTACTTTCCAGGCTTGTTGTTTTATAGTGGAACAGTACCTGACCCATACAAAGCGTTTCGAGTGCTAAGCTTTCAAATAGTTACTATGATTAAAGAGGTTATGTATCTAAGTAACAGCACCACGATTTTGGAAAAGATGAAGAACTAAGAGAATTGCTGAGGTGAACAGGGGGCGGTACCTCAGGTGAACAGGAGGTAGCGCTTCAATTTGACTTCAAAGCAAAGGGAGTTTGTGGGGAAGATCAGTTATGGTGGAAATGTGCAAAATATAATCTGGAAAAATAAACTGACCATCTGGAAAATCTGATGGCTCATTATAGAAAGCAAAATGGAATGTATAGTTTGGGAGTATGTCAGACACTCCACATAGTAAACATGCTTGCAAGAGATGACACAGATACAGCTTGCTGAAACTGTAATAGTTTAAGCATCTGATAAGATATTTGGTCCACAGAAAATCCATGAAAATGGCTTAGGTCAGAGTCAGGAAGGTGAAGAGGAAAGGATGAGATTTGCACCTTGGGGCAATATCTCACAGAATGGGCTTCAGGAAATGAAGGCGGTAGCCCTTTAGCATCAAGTCAGGACTAAGCTACGGCATCAGGCTACTAAGGGACACAACAAAAGCAAGGCAGGATCCTAAGGCTGTAGGACTGGGGTTACTATGAAAGAACACCAGGCCAAAGGAATAAGAAGGGGTTCCTATGTAGACTTGGCTGGCAGATCTAGCCTAGACTTATTTTCTGTTGAATATACCCCTGAGTCTCAGAGTATTCACCAAGATTCAAGTCCTTCCTATGGATGATCATCATAGGTTCTAGAACACTCCATGAGTGGAGTCTTCATGTGAGTCAGATGAGAGGCCGAGTTTAGGAAGCACTTAGCGCTTACATGCAATGGAGTGCCTTGACTATCTCATGACAGGGAACCCAGGCTGAGGTTGTCTTTCAGACTCCAGCACAACCAGTCAAACAAGCACCACTCAAATGTGAGACATACAAAATGAAGGTCCATGACAGACTTGACTGAGGCCCAAGGTTACTTCAACTCCCGAAATCTTAAGCTTTTTATATTTCAAAGGGAGCCAGTAATTACTACCTCATTTGTGAGGCTGTGAGGATTGAGGGGAGAAATTCTTGTCTTCACAGAGAAAGAGATGGGGGTAAAAATTTCCAGGTGTGAAACTCATGAAGTGCTCACTCTCTGAAAGGGGTCATGGGTCTCTCAGGTGTCCCACACCTAATGCTCCAGTTCCAGTAACTCAGGACTAGTAGTAGGCTGCTATGTTGGGTGTCACTGTGTGAAGTTGTAAAGAACACACTTTATGAATGTAAAGCTTCATTTTTAGCTTGAGAATAAGATGCAAAAAAAAGATAAATCTTCTTCATGTCATTGCTTGTGCAATTTTCTCTTGAGAAAAAAAGCTAAGTAAAATGACAACTCAGTGTTCCTGAGCCTTTAAAGGGCATGATGATAAACACAAATAATGTAATCCAATTTCAATTTAGGACACACATGCCATTGTGCTATTCCATAATTAATAACCGGAAGTGTCTCTTTGTTGACAGATGTTTTTAAATGCAGCATCGGACTTTCCTCACTGACCCACATATTTTTCCTGCCCTTGGCACCTCGTGCTTTCTCACCAGCTCCGTCTCTGGTCTCAAGGACTGCAACATGCTTCTGAACTCGTCCACATGGCCACTCCTTGCCTTTGCTGGACTCTCAGCTCCTCTCTCAGATACTTGCAAACCCCTCTCATATCTTAGGTCTCAGCCCCGTTACTTTCTCTATAAATCAATTTCTGATTTGATGCAATTACTCGTCATACCACAATATACCACTTATAGAAAAATTTTTTAACTTTGACGTTTACAATTTCACTAGTCAATCTGCCCACTACTGTCTTGTATCTAGTAATTTAGTATCTTGTACAAGCTCAGTTAATGTGTGAGGTAGTAAAAATAATTTATATATTTCTTTTTGAAGTATTGTATAAGTATATATATATATATATATATATATATATGCATATATACATAAATACTTGTGTGTGTGTGTGTGTGCATGTGTGTCAAGTTGTGCTTTAACGTTTGCATGATTTCTTTGCTTTCCAAATATCTGTCTCACTAATTTTCTTTTTCCTTGTTGGAGTCACAGAGAAGATGAGACCAGATGGACTCTTGTGTCCACTGGAGCCAGTGTGTGGTTGGTAGTCCGTGGCTCATGGCTTGGAAAAGAGATGTAGCTTTCCCTCTGATGTTCTCATCCAGGTAATGGTGTCATTGACTGGCTGGTTTCTAACAAGCAAGTTCGGAATCGCCAGGAAGGACTCATGATCTCTGCCTCCCTGCTCAGTGAAGGGTACCTACAGCCTGCTGGTGATCTGTCTAAGAATGCAGCAGACGGAATAGCTGAAAACCCTTTTCTGGACAACCCTGATGCTTTCTACTACTTTGTAAGCATGAAAAGCTACCCGTACTTGTGGTCCTGACATAGAATCAGAGTAGATTTTCTAAGGGTAACTAGTTTATAGCCACACATGCAAACAGAATGTCTAGTTGGAAAGAGAACTGATGGGTGGGAAGGCTGGATGGAGAAGGGAAGTTAATAACAAGCTGGTGAGATGGCTCAGAGGGTACAGACGCTTGCTGCCAAGCCTGATAACCTGAGTTCAGTCCCCAGAACTTGTATGTAGAAGGGGAGAACCAACTCCTTCCTGCATGTTGTCCTTCAATTGTTGGCTCTTCACACTAATGTAAGCTTTCTCCTGCTATGAACTCCCTTCCTGAATGTTGTAAACTTTGTATACTTTTGTAAACTTTGTAATCCTCAAGGCAGGAAAGTGCCTAGACGCTCCAGTGACCAGACTCCACTCCCACACTTCCCTATCAGCCATAAGAATTATTTTCTATGAGTTGAAATGGCCATTCCCAGCCCAGAGGCAGAAGATTGGCCAATTCCCACTCAACTAGAAAAAAAAGTCCTATCAACCCCTGAGTTTACCCCAAGGATCAGGCCACATAACCCCTCCTACGCAAGCCACCCTCTCACCTTGGCAAGGAACCCTTTATAAACCCTGTGTTTTCCCCAGTTTTCTGCTGCTTTCTCCGTAGCAGAGGTAGCCACCCTCCTGGGATTTTACCTCCCAATAAATCTCTCGTGTGAGGTTTGTTGTGCCCTGTGAATGTGGCATTTCTTGGCTCTCACCTTCCAGGATACGTTTTGGAGCAGAGCTGTAACAGTTTTGCTGGAGCAGAGCTTTTGCTAGGGAAACCTCGGCTTTCCAGAGAGGAGATGTAACACTTTCAGTGAGGAAATAGTCCTCAGACAGAGCAAAGTGGTTACACTTGCATTGGGGAAACTCCCCTGGCCAGAGGAGAACATCTGTAGGGATAGGCTTTCCTTAGGAGCAGCAATACTTCGCTGATCTCCATCCCCGTTCAGTGGCACATGTTTTCATATGTATCCAACCCCCCTCAAACACACACAAACATTTTAAAAACATGTACTAGAAGTTATGAAGTCACTCGGCCAATAAAGCATCTCTTACACCAGTACTGTCTAGACTTCACAGCTTCTCCTTCAAATGCTGGCCTCTCCAAGTGAACAGTTTAAAGGAAATGATTGTTTATCTGAATAGTTTTCTGTCACTCACCTTTGAAATCTTATTATTTTTGTTCTAAGTCAGTGGTGCTCAAACTTCCTAATGCTGTGACACTTGCTTCGGGGATTCCTGACCACAAAACTATTTTTGTTGGTACTTTATAACTCTAATCTTGCTATTGTTATTAATCTAACATAAATAGCTGTGTTTTTTAGTGGTCTTAGGTGACCCCTGTAAAAGTGTTGTTCAACTCCCAAAGGGGTCAGGACTTACAGGTTGAGAACCAATGTTCTAAGCAATCATTTAATTAATTTTAATTTTAATTAAAATTAAATTGTGTGCCACTGCTTGGCACATGTTGTCCTAGACAAAGGAAATACAGCAGTGCAAAGACAACAGCGTCTGTCCTCTTTAGAGGGCTGTCCATGAAACCACAGTATGATGGGCTGTTTGTGTTTGAAGATACAATAAAGGATTCATTGTGCTTTTGTATACACTTCCACCCATGACATTGTATGTTTCTTATGCTGTTTACTGAGATTGCTAAACCCACATTATGTAGCCTGAGCCTAACTAGGGTTCACATGACAATTTCAGCAACTGTGGACTTCTAGGGGGATTTTGGACAGTTTTGTTTCTATTTTGGATCAGAATGTAGAAGTTACAAAAGCTCCGTTGAGAACCATTCAGTTTGTAAAAATGAAGCCAACATCCAAGTCAGGGTTCATTTCACTTTTGGGGAAGTTCCACTACCAGTACTTTTTCATGCTTCAGCCCTTGTGTCGAGCTTTTTATAGCAATTTAAATGAAGGGTGCTAAATTAACTCCCCGAAGAAGCAGCTCCCTCCTCCTCTGTGTGGTTTGTCACTCTTTTAGAGCTCAGAAAATCCACCCAATTATACTGACCTCAGAGGCTGAGATGGTACACATGCCCTTGCTTCTCTCAAGGCGACAGATGGGTGGAGCTGGGTGACAAATCATGGTGGAGAGTGTTGTGTTGGAGTGCTGTCTAGTTTTAAAGATGTGGCCATGACATCCCATGAGAAAAAAGATGTTGATGAGCCAGACTTAGGACATTACCTGGAGAATCACAGAAAATGAAAGGCTACTGGTCAGATCACACTTGGCTAGAGGCACATAAGGAGCAGCAACCAGGTGCAAGAGGATGGCAGAGGCTTAGACAGCAAATTCAGAGTAACCCTAAAGCTTCAGATCAGGGTATATGCAACAGCAGAGAGGCACAGTGGTTGGCAGGAGGGTGTGTGACATCAGTACAACAATGTGCCTAAGACCAGTAAGAACCTGCTGTGTGGTTTCCCAACAGCCAGACAGTGGATTCTTCTGTGAGGAGAACTCCAGTGATGATGACGTTATTCTGAGAGAAGAATTCAGAGGGGTTATCATCAAGCAGGGATGTTTACTGAAGCAGGTGAGTGACTGCCACGATTTCACCCTGGCCTTCCTCTCTTTTCAAGCCTTCTAATAGTTTTTTTCTAAATCACTAATATGAGCAGAGAATGGTGATGCATGTTCATAATCCCAGGACTCATAAAGCTAAAGAGATGTCTGTGAACTCAAGGCCAGCCTAGACTAAACAGTGAGACTTTAGCTCAAAAGAACAAAACACGAGTAACAAATGAAAAAAGTCAAGTTGTTACATAGTATTTAGTTTGTTTGACTAATAATAACCCAAAAATGAAACCCACAGAGTGAAAGACAAAATGTTTAGCAGATGATAAAGGTAATGTTGGGTTAGGACTGGGACAGGCAGGGCAGAAAATGCCCCAAGAGATAGTGAAACTCTTCTTTTGCAAATTTCATAATGATGAAAAGTGTTTTAAGAAAATATTGCCCCCCCCTTTTTAATAGGGAGAAAGAAGTTGGCCAAGAGATGCCATTAAAAAGATAAAGATATTTCATGGTAAAGTATTTCAAAGTGACCCGAAAATAGGAACAGGCCACATTCTCTGGTAACCTTTAAGAGCAAAAAGGTGCTATTCCAGACTGGAAGCCTGGTCAGACCTAAAGCTATGGCATGAGGCCAGCTCTATAGGAACAGTGTGTTAAGGTCAGGTCCTGTTGGAGGGCATGGGCACAGGCACAGCACACGTGTGTGGTGTGTGTGCAGGTGTGGGGGTATTCTGTGCAATTTCAGGAACAATGTAGCTTCTTTTCAAGGAGTTCAGAAAGAGGAAGTATTCATTTCTTAGGGACATAGTTTAGATGGTTCTGTTTTAACTGACAAGCTTGGGTTACCTAACTTTTTCTTTGTTGCATGTGTTTTTGCTATAACCTCTGAATTTAATCACATTAATTCAAAGTTAAGGATATGATGATAGGAGATTTTCCCTAAAAGTTCACTTTATTGCGTACGAACCCAGAATCTGCTCAAGTTGCATTTGTCTGGTCTCTAGTTCCCATATGCATTTCAGAACATTTTGGGCAGAAGGCAGCCACAAAATGGAAATTACCAAGGGGCTGCTAAGGGAGGAGCGTCCTATTTTATTGCTTGGAAGAGGATGTTTGTGCAACCCCAGGGAGGTGAGAATCCAGGTTGCCAAGTGCATTCATTGTAAAGAAAGAGGTGTGTTTGTAGCCCAAGCCAAGCAGAGTCCTGAGTTACTGAGTTTTCCTTCTGTGTGCATGCCTGCCTCAATCCTTTACCTCATGAGTAACCCTGGTTCATATCAGAACTATTTGAGAGCAAATTTAAAAATGTTCTTTATGTTCTTCAAAAGATCAGCTCTCCTTCCATTGCTGCTTGGAGTTCACCAGGGCTAACCTGTCAAGAAGGTTTACACCTTCATGAAAAAGGATACCCGTGTTGCACACTCCACAGGTGGGAAGAAGCTGTGTCTAATTGGAGAACTGTGTTCTTCCTGCTTCTCAGTTTTATTTCAAGAGAAATAATCATACTAGATACATGGAACCAGTACAGGGATGAATGAACAGCTGTGGCTTATATTTGGTCTAATCCTTTATGTATAATTTTTTTATTATAACATATCTCTCATTTCATTCTTTTGAACTTTATATTTGTATCTAGTATTTTATTTGTGTTCTGTCATAGTCTCTTTTCTTATGGATTGTTAACTCTTCAAAGAATAGCGCCATGTCTTGAACTGAGTTCTATGCCTAGCGCTGCTCAACATGTCATGCACAGTAGTGTGCCATTTCACATAATTCTACAGCCAGAAGACCACAGAGCAATATTTTAACTTATCCACATGCTTCAATAACATCTGGCTTATAACTGGTCTTGGTGCTGGCTCCCCGAGAAAGACATTGTTCAGGACCCAGTAATTCACCATGACCACCTTTTACCTTGCATCTCAGTACACTTCTTTCATACGCACTGTGTACAGAGTGATGCTACCAACTCACCCTTCCATTCCCTATATTGTTTCTTGGTACAGGGGCACCGGAGGAAAAACTGGAAAGTGAGAAAGTTCATTCTGAGAGAAGACCCGGCCTACCTGCACTACTATGACCCTGCTGGGGTGAGGTTTTGTGTAGATATGTCGATCCAAATAGAAGCTTTGCAGTGTGCATGAGCTGGGGCCACCCCTGCTGTTAGATCACTTCTGTTTCCATTCTCAGGTTTCTCCTTAGTCTGTTACTTTTTTCTACCATTTCCCACGGCAATGTCTGAGTTCTTGTGCCTCCATGGAGGAGTTGAAGACAATATCAACATATATGTATTTGGTCATTTTGTTCCATTTTAATAGCACATACACACACACACACACACACACACATACACACACACACACACAAATTTCTCTTAGCATTCAAATAATAGGCTTCATTGTGACAGTTCCGCTCACATCTGCCTTCTTTGATGTCGTTTCTGTGCCACAATGCTGTCTCATGTACCCTCTTCTCCACGCCCATTCGATTCTTCCTCCCCTGAATAGTCCTCCTGCTCTCAGGTACCATTCAGTCTTTCCACCCTTACTCTTCTTTTTATACATTTCCTCCTCATTTGTAGTCCCCAGTCTACTTTGTAAGGGCTTCTCAGGAAAAAACATGAGGAGCAGTCACCTTTCTGAGTTTGGTTTATATTGTTTTACCAAAACGGTCTATAGTTCCAACCATTTTCCAATAAGTGTCAATAGTTTTTTATTTTTACAGCTGTATATGTCACACATTTTCATTACTCATCCATCCAATCCAACTTCCAGGTTGAACTGGAATGGATTTTCTTCCATCTCTCTCTGCTCTTACCAGACTGACCCTGTGCTAGACCAGGCAGCGTATGCCCTCCTTCTATTCTTCTGAGGAGCCTCCACATTTGATTTACGTAGTGGCCAGCACAGTTTACATTCCCACCAGCAGTGTGTAAAGGTTCAGTTTTTCTCTATATGCTTGCCAATATTTACTATTTTATCTTTATGACAGCGGTTCTGACTGGGGTGAAATAGAACCTCAATGTGATTTTGATTTGAACTTCAAATATGTATTGACAGCTTGTGGTTCTTCTTTTGAGAACTGTCTATCCATTTCATTAGCCCAATTTTTAACTTGATGATTTGTTTTCCTTGGTATTTTATTTAGGAGTTTTCAATATATTCCAGATACTAATGAATATCATGTTTGGTGTAGAATTGTTCAAGGTTTCCTCCTGTTCTGCAGGCATCTCTTCACTCTGCTGATTTTACTCCACCGATATGGAGAAGGGGGTTCAGTTTCCTCCACATCACTTGTCAGTTTTTTCCTGTGCTGCTGGAGTCCTTTCCAAGAAGCCCATTCCTAAACATCATTTCGAAAGGGAGGGAAGACATTCTGAAAAGGATTTTCTTCCATCTCTCTGTTCTTTCACCAGACAGAGTGACCCTGTGCTAGACCAGGCAGGCCCAGCACTGCATACTTTGGAAACACAGTAGCCCTTCTCTCTTCTAGGGTGAAGATCCCCTAGGAGCAGTCCACTTGAGAGGCTGTGTGGTGACTTCGGTAGAGAGCAGTCCTGATGGTAAGAATGAACTTCTTTATACCTTGTATATTTATGACATGCATACATTAACTGTCTGAGAACTCTGGAAGTATTTAAGTGCCATCTCTTCCCAAGAGCTGACCCACCTTTCAGAACTTGGGAAACGAGATGTTTTTGTGCATGCCTTGAGTGTGTCACTGAATAATGATAGAAAAACCTATTACCTCCAAACTGGCTTCTACAGAGAGCTTGATCACAACTCCTGATTCTGTGGTGTTCCTTAAAGGAGATGATGTAGTTATCCATATAAAGGAATGCTCTGCAATAAGTGGAACACCAATGCAGCGATGCGAACTGCCCAGTGGGAATCTCACAGGCTCAACTGGTGGGTCTGTGCTACGTAGACTGCCACAAAACCCATGCCACCCTGCTGGATCTCAGTTCCTGCTCTGAAAATAAGGGGCTACACTAGATGCCTTTGACTGACACATGAATTGACCGTGTGGCTGTTGAGTGTTTTGTCAGGCCCAGAGTCACATGGAGTCACTGAGATGTGACATTCACAGCCTGCTTTAATTTTTCTTCCCTGTCACTTGCTAGACTTTTTCTTTCTGTGTTGTTTTATTTTTTAAAAATCATGTTTTTGAGCACAAAATTATACAGAAAACTATGTAACAATGACCAAATTTCAACAGGAGTAGGCATACAGCAATTTGTTTTGTTTGATGCATGCTTGTCTGTCTTCATCTCTTGATAATTTATCTGGAATCAAATGAAGATATACCATTTAAAGGGGAACAAACCATGCAATCACTCTGGCTTGACATTTTGGGTTTATTTGCCTTTTTGTCTTTTATTAAGAGCTCAGAATTAGGTCTTAGTTTAGACTATACTTACAAGACTGATGTTAGATATGGTTTGGGTTTATTATATATTTATGCTTGCAAATATAAATATATGTACCTTTTAATGTAATGTATATTGAGGTTGGCTCTAGGTTTATATTATGAGCAAAATAAAGGAACTCCTTAAACACTATCAGAAGTTACTTAGTAGATGCTATTGGTGTGCAAAGGCAAGAAATTTGACACACTTACTAATGATGAAAGAAACTGTTTCTCCTTGAGTATTATGCATGTTTCTTAATAATCATACTACGTAGCTAACTTTATAAATATTGCATGTATCTTTAGACAATGAATATGCATGTATACTTTAGGACACTGTGAGACAGGCAATTCATGATCTGGAGAAGGAAAAGGGAGAGGTGAATTGCTGGTACCCACAGGTTATTTTACTTTCTCTCTCACCAGGTAAGAAGGGTGACGGAGAGAACCTCTTTGAGATCATCACTGCAGATGAAATTCACTATTACTTGCAGGCGGCCACTTCCAAGGAGCGTACTGAGTGGATCAAAGCCATCCAGGTGGCCTCACGGACTGGGAAGTAAGGACAATGTTCAAGCCCTCATCCCCTCCCGAGGGAAGTCCATGTGTAGATAAACTCAGTGCGTCACTGTCTGTGGTAATTCAATCAAGAAGAACGGAGGACTAGGAAGCATCTGCCTGCATGTAACTAGCCAGGTGCCACATAATATTGCCTGTGCCTCTCCTCTCACTCAGGTCCCTCCACCCTATCTGTGTCCATAAGCTATCTAATGAGCTATGTTGGTAGGCTACATAGCCTTTCCAGGCCTTAAGGATTCTTGTGGAAAAAGAAGTCATGGACTAGGGTGTCTCTGAGGTCCTCTCTAGATTAAAAAGAAAGCCAAACAGCAAATCAACACATAATGCTCTGTGATTATAATTCCCATGTAAGCGAAGCTGTGTCCAGCTATTCTGCTGGTGTCTTTTTTTTGGGTCAGCTAGTGGGCTCTTGCCTCCCATCCCATGTGCGAGCTTTCTTTTAGACATCGCCTGTCTTTGAAACTGTTGCCAAAGTATTCTGAGAATACTAAGACTTCTCCTTTGTTCTCTGATCTTGTAGCTGTTGTTCACAGCTTCATGGTCATGTAGTTCACCCAGGCATTTCTCCAGAGGAGATTTCAGCCTTCAGCTTTTGCTGTTGTAGTTCCTGAGAAATGGACCCAAGGAAACCACGGGAAGCTGAGGGTCTTGCTAGATGACAAAGCTGCTTAGATCAAGATCTGTCGTGGGATGGGGCCATCCCTTTGGTCTTTTCTGGAATATAATGTATCACTTCTTACAAATTAGGGTAATCCCTAAGTCCTTGAGTTTCTCTTAAGTTTTACAGAAAATTAGTTCATTCAGGGTCCTTGCATGTGTGAAGGCCATGGGCAGTGGCCTGGCTAGCATGTCTTCCTGATCTGCAGAGAGAGGACAGGACTGGATTGCAAGGCAAGCTGAATAGATGATAGACCTATGCAGGGTCAGCACCGAGGGCCTGGAATCTATACAGAGTGTTTGATGAAGGCTATCAAAGCCATGAAGCTCCTTTAGGTCTTCTGATCTCAGTGCATGCAATTCTCTGATCTTAAGAGTAAGCAGCTCCCAGTTGATCTCTCAGGGCTTCCTGGTCTATTAGTCGGAGCTGGTTTAAAACAGGAACTTGTCTGTAAATTTTCTGTCTAATTACTCTTGTCCCGAAGTATAAAACTAGGTATTCATACAAAGGAGTATATTTTTAAGATATTATTATTTTTGTGTGTATGGTTGTTTGGCCTGCATGTATGTATGTACCATGTGCTACACCTCATTCCTAAAAGCCAGAAGAGGGTACTGGATCCTCTCCAGCTGGAATTATGGGTGATTGAGCCAGTATGTGTGTGTGTGTGGTGGGAACTGAACCCAGATCCTCTGGAGGAACAGCCAGTGTTCTTAGCCCTGAGTCATATTGCCAGCACTACGAGTATTTTTCTAACTCCATATTTAGTTCTGTGGTGCTGGTAAAGAAAGGAACGAACATTTCCCTGATTACATAGCTCCTCTATTCATGTGTTAATTTCCCTGTGCCAGTCATTCGACTCTGGCTCAGGTTATTTTATTGATGACCAAGAGGCAAAGGACTATCCTTTCTTTGATTCTTCAGCACATTGTCTTTATCTAATGCACACAATGTTTTATTTATTGTTAGTCTTCAAATAATTATTAATATGGAGTCAGCCTAATGTTTTGAAATAGGTAGGATTTAGCTTAGTGCTGTTTGGGTATGCTGACTTTGAAATTGCTTTCCCTTTATATGATTCACTTTTATGTTCTGAATAGTTTTATTTTATTTCTCAAATCATTTGCATACATTTAAAACAAAACAAACATCATGGACTGAAGAGATGGCTCAGCAGTTAAGAGCACTTGCTGTTTTTGCAGAGGACTGGGATTCTGTTCCCAGGTCCACATGGTGGCACACAACTGTCTGTAATTCCAGTTCCAGAGGATCTAACACCTTTTTCTGGCCTCCAAAGGTACTGGAGACATGTGGAATACGTGAAGGCATTCATACAGGCAAGCACTCACACACATAAAGCAAAATTAATTAAATCTTTTAAAACCAGTTTACTTTAGGGTATAATAAAATACACTCACACTGAAGACATGGTTAAGGATAAGGTAGAGGATACTTCTTGTTTTTAACACATATCACCTCAACTCTAATCCTTAGACAGATGAAAAGACTCATTAAGTACACACTAAGGACACACCTAAGCTTCCTTCTTTAGAGCCTCTAAGGATGCTGTAATTTCATCTCTGTTACAGCCTAGTGACTGTTTTCCCCTGGGACTTCAGGCACATAGTAATGCAGGTGGGCACAGTGGCTTGTAGCATTGTGAAGGCTTCCTAATGTAAGCAGTTGCCTTCTCCTCGGAAGAAGCTGTCTCTCGATAAAACAGGTACATAGGGACTATTTAGATGCGCTATTTATATCTGAACAACTTTTCTGCCTACAAATAAAACTCAGATCCTGTTGGGCACCTCAATAAGATAACGGACATGATTTGAACACTGTCATGGTAGCCACCACCCTCAAGATGTATATGAAGTGTGTGGAAGTTGATGATTCTTCTTGAAGGATGTCTGTTGCTGTCAAGAATCACTGGTCATTTTTTCCCTCAGTATTCCAACTTAAAGTGGGAAGAAAACAGGTTGCTTAATTACCAACCACAGAGGTTTTAAGAGATAATATATAAGCCATGTATAGTGGCATACATATGTAAGCCCGGAGCTTGTAAGATCATGGTGGGAGGATGGTGAGTTTAGGGCGAGTCTAGCAACACAGTGAGACCATGGAAATAAAGAAAGAAAGAAGGAAGGAGCAGAAGACAAGGTGATAAAAGGAGGCAAAGATCTTCTTGCCTCATGCAACTCATAGGAGTCAGACAAATAAAACATCAGTCTGAAAACCAAAACACTCCCTAGAAGTCAAGATAGTGAAATCTCACAGCATGAAATGCAGCCTTTGGTTTATAATACACACACACACACACACACACACACACACACACACACACACTGCACCATAGCGAGTGACTTTCAAAGCAGAATGAGGAAGTTACTTAAATGAAGACATAGATAACCATTGGTGCTTGTCAGGAGATAGTGAAGAAAGCTAAACAGAGGCTTAGAGCCCATTGCCTATGGACTCTTTGGAGAGTGATGTAAATACCTCTGGCCCCCATCTTTAGGGCAAAAAGAAGACAGGAAGGGTAATTGCACAGCAGTTCAGATTGTATTCCATGTTCTTTAAATTCAGGGTTTAAAACCATGAAGGATGTGTTAGAAGTAGAGAAGATAGTAACAAAAAAAGAAAATAGTGGGAGAAGTTCAAAAAGCTAAAAAGTTGCTTAAAAATAGAGTGAAATTATACCCTAGCTGTGTTTGATCTAGTTTCAGGGCAAAATGAAAATAAAATTTAGAGGCCATTGGAGGAGACAAAGCAGGTGGGAGTTGCTCTTCTGAGGAGAAATACACAGAGATGTTTGTGGAAAAACTTAGATGTGGTGGGGAAGGCACTGCTGGAGCCTGAGATTGGGGCTCAGAAGCAAACTCATGACTTACATAGTTACAGCCTCCCTTAGTATCAGCTTCTGTGTCAGTCAGCATTCCATCACTGTAACAAATGTCTCAGATAAACCAACTGAGAGAGAGAAAGGTTTATTTTGTCTCACAGTTTCCATTAATGGTTGGCTGGCCTCTAGTTTGGGGCTTCTGGTGACTATCTTATACCAGCAGAGAGCAGCTTCTGGTTGTGGCTGTGGTTAGGGATGGAAAATATTTTTGAAACATTCACACCCTCTCCAAGTACATGTTCCCAGTGACTAGAAGAGCTACTACTAGACCTCTTACAGGTTCTCCTGTCTCCTAACAGAGCTACATGGGAGCCTAAGCCTTAGCCACATGAGTCTTTTATTTTGGCAGCCTCTTGGTTATTAAAATGAAATTGGTGTTGCTGTTAGGACCAAATAGAGCAATATGTATGAACTACTTGGCATGTTTGGAACACCCAAACCCTAGCTTCCCTTCCTTTGTCTCTTCTTCCATTGAAGGCATTCATGGTAATCTAAGGTAGTGGGCAATGGTTTTCAATTTTTAAAACCTTAGTCACAATTGCCTAGAATTCTTTTGTTGAACATTGGTGTATAAAACTTGTTCAAGACCTCTTGCCCTATCGTTACAGGATATTCAAAGCCCAGCGTACTAGATTTTGAATCTATGTTCTTAAGCTCGCTGTCCTAGCTTTTGATATCTATCTTGTTTCCATAGGAACCCTGTTAACTGTGCCCTGGCTCCTGTCCTATCAGCTACAGCAGCATTTCCTGTTAGCACACAGCCAGCCCTGACTCTGGGTTCTGAGCTTTCTGTGGCCTAAGGGAAACCTCTATGGTCAAATATAGCTAAGCAAAGGGCTCCACCCCATGGGCACTGGTTTTGAGATTTTGTGATATGTTCTTGCAGACATTTTTTTTTCTGGACTGACTAGGATATATGTGTACACACATACACTGAGTACTCATTGTTTTAAACTTCCCTCTGTGGATGAGCAGCAAGAAGCATTCACACATACACAGGAAAACCCTGCTGCATGAATAAAATCCATGGTTTGCCAACAATAAGAAAACTTCTCCAAATATGTGACAAATCAATACACACATAAATAACTAAATACAAGAACATGTGTGGTGTGCCATCAGTCATTAGGGAAGTGCTAGCTGAGGTCACAGCAGGACATCACCATAGACTTGGGGGGCTTCATGAACCAACATAGAGTAAAATCCTGAGTTTCAACCAGGGAATGGAACACCTGAGCCTTTGCAGTGGTATAGTACAATGTTCTGGTAAAAGTACAGTGGTTTAGCCACTTTGAAGAACAGCCTGTGGGAAGACTTAAAGCGTTAGATATATACTATCTACTCCATTCCTTGATCCACATCCAAGAGAAATAACAGCACATGTTCATACAAAACTTTTATGTGTGTTCATCATTTGTAGTTGTCAGAACAAGGAAGATGATCCAGATATTTTTTTTAAAATATAGTAGTAAAAAAGTAAATCATATGTATTCATACAATGGCATACTTCACGCAATAAAGGAGTGAACTCTTTGTATGCACAATATGGGTAAATCACAGGACAAATAGGCTCAGCGAAAAGATATATATACTGTGTAATTGTAATGACGTGAGATTCTAGAAACTGCACACTAATCTATAGTGATAGAAAAGAGACCAGTGGGCATTTGGGCATGAGGAAGAGATGGAAAGAAGTGGGCAGAAGGAAGCACAAAGGAAGGAGAAATCGTTTGAGAGGGATAGAAACCTTTATTTAGAAGGTGACATTAGTGTCACAGGTACATAAGAATATCAGCACCTGCTAAGTTGTACATTGTAGATGCTATGTGTTGTGTGCCAGGAGGCTTTGCACAGTAGAGGCTCTCTATTTGGGTTCAGCAAGAGTAGTTGCTTTGTGAACCCTCCATGCCCCACTTGGCATTCTTTTGGGAGTGGTTTGGGGGGAAGGCAGCAGCATATATAGCCCCACCCCTCATCTTTGGTGTGGTAGGAAGTATCTGAGGGTTAGATGTGCACAAAACAGGGTGCTTTGGAAGTGTGGTGTTCAGCCTGAGATTTCTTGCTTTTGCAAGATTAATTCTCTGTTATAAAGACATTAGAGGATCTCCTTTACCTACTAAGGATTTTACTGTTATAGGGGCTGGTTATTTCTTTTACACAGGAAAGGACACAAAAGAATGAAGAAGGAGGGGGTGGTTTTCTGGGACTATATGTGTGGTTCAGTGATAAAATACTTTATATAGAGTGCAGGAGTCTGGGTTCAATTCTTGGCACCACCAAAACCAGTTACTTTTAAAGACAACCCATACCTGGTTGGCATTCTGTATTGTGAATTACTGATTTGTTCACCTTGCAAGTAGAGAGCAGAAACCAACTGTGACCTTACTCTTTGACATCCCATTGAACAACTACGTTTCTTTTTTTAGATTCTGCATCTTCAAGTCTGACAAATATAAGCAGAATGGTTAGACAGAAGCTCATTTTACCACCTTGTTCAGGGTCCAGTGTCATGTCAGAATGAAAGTGGCATGTCTCATGTCACTGTGAATCTTTCTTTTATTGTCAATGTCTTAACATACAAGGGAAGTAACACCTGGTTGTCTTATTTGTGGACTTCATTGGAGGCAGTGTAAAACTAGAGGACTCAGGGCCTAGTTTGTTCATTTATTTCTTGTCTCACTGACTGGCCTAGATGGCTGGCTGTGTATCTATCCGCTCACTGTGCTCTTTTTCCTTATCTGGCTGTGAAGAATAGACTGAAGAGGGTAAAAGCTGAAGCTAGAAATAAGGTGATGAATAATTCACTCCAAAAACAACATGGACTTAGACCAGACAAGGAAGCCTTGTATGTGAATGTTGTTCCATTTGGAAAACATATTGTTTGCAATCTCATTAATAGGACATACTAAGTAATGTAGGAAGGATAGGTAAGAAGAAAGACAAAGGAAGAGTGACACATATTACCCTGAATATTGGATAAAAAGTGGAACTGTTTGCTGAGGTAGGAAGATGTAGAGATTCAGAGTACCTAGTACATCTTACAAAGACTACCACCTATACATATTTCAAATGGGACTTCTTACATATGCAGGGCTACCTTGACTGGTCTAAGTCACTGTTGTTTCTTAAGCAAATTATTCATCTGTTTCTCATAATATTTCTATATAGAGTGGTAGCATTTAGGGCTGAGGGGCTAGCTTTCTTACATATGACATGCTTTGAGCCACTTAATTAGCAGGTAGGTTCAGAGAAATGGTAAGGAGCAAGTGAATGATGCCTCTTCTAGTGGAGAACTGAATATGTGTGGATCCAATGTAGGGATGTGCTGATTTTGAAGTCAGTAAGAGACATTTGTCATTTGGAGAATGGAAGCTGAGATCTCAGCAGAGAGGAATAAGATGTACTTATATACGGGTAATTAGAAAGCAATAGTGGAAATGCCCAGGTTCTGAGGTAAAATACAAGAATCTACTGGAGTCTTGTACTTGTTACTTATATTATATAGTTTTTCTCTTAGTCACATGTGTTTACAGCACCAATATGATGGCAGTTGCTATAATATACTGTGAATATAAGCCCCCAAATCAAGGATGCAAAATCAAGTTTCCCCAACTGCACTTTAATAGGAGCTAAATGACTTTGAGATCCTCCATGTTCTGATTGTGACACAGGCACAGACTTAAATGAGTACTGGGGAATGCTGTCCAAAATGATCAGCATTAATGTGTCAGGTGGCAAGCACACATATGGTAGAAATGCTGCATACTCACTCATGCATTTGGTAAACATATTCTTTTTTCAATGTTTATCTGTAGATTGTACTTGAAATATAACAATGCTGCATCTATGTGTGAGAGAACAGAGACGAAGCCAGTCTGCCTTCTTAAGAATCATGTGTCTTCCTTGGGGGGTTGGTATGGTTCTGGAGTTATCTTGTGAAATGAATAATTTGTTTTCAAGGGTAAGGATGATATAGTTTGTTTGGGCATTATTATTATTACTTGAGGAATGACAAGTTTCCTGAGATTTGCCAATAGCCATTTATATGATATGTATCTCCGACCAGGAGCCATGTCAATTATGTTGTTACAAGTGTTGTTTTATTTCAAATCACACTAAATCTTCTTTAATATGATTGTACAGATGAGGACATCAAGAATCATCAAGGTGAATCTGATTGGCCAAGATCCTATATCCTGGATAACAGAGATGGACTTCAAGGCCAGACATTGAACTTTTAGTTGGCATTCTGTTCTGTCCTCACCTTCCTCACATACTTTTGGGGTGTATCATTTTAATGTATTGTTTATTTAATATTCACTGTAGCAAGAGTTCTCAAGCCTTGTAGGTCTGTTCCCACAACCCCAACACTCAAAGAAAACAATATTGTGTCTGTATGACCTGCCACAGGAAGTCTGGAGACCTCACAGATAGTCCAGGAAGTCTCAAGGCTGGCGGAGGATGAGGCCTTTCATCCCTTTGTATTCTGAATTCTCACTCCTGTTTTTTTTCTCCTCAGCTGAATAAAACAATTATCATGATACTCCACACAACACAGAAGGCCTCAGCCTAATTGTGTGCTTTGCTCTTCCTCCCTTTGGCTCAATGTCATTTCTTCAGTATACAAGGATGTCAGCTGGGTCCTTAGAAAAGCTGAGCCTGAGATAGCCTGAGAGGAGTGAAAGAAACATATTAAGAAGGGGAAAGGATGATATTAAAACAGACAAATGTGAAAGGAACTAGAAATTAGGTGAGGAAACTAACATAAATCTAACAACAGGGTTGGCCTAGAAAGAATAGCAAGGGGCCATCTTCCCCTGACTGAGCAAGGTATCAGGTCCTCTGTCTTATGTGGTGAAGTGACCTAAAGTGACAATATTTTTATGGACTAATGAACAGTACTGTATGGTTTCTCTAATTACACAGAATCTTATAGGGAAAAAAGACTGAAAGATCAGAGACAAGGGACTCTTGGGAAGAAGCATAAGGACGGACATCTGGGAGTGGGTGTAAAGTATGAGGATGTATATGACATATTCTAAATCCCAGAAGCATCCATCCCCAAATCACTTGACCTGCAATCACCGCAGCCTTAGAGCAAAGGATAAATGAATGGGTGGCCGCAGTGGAAGCTATAGAGGCCACATACAGGAACAACAGCATTGGCTTCAACTTTCCAACCTTATTTAGCTATTGCCACCATGTGCTCATATGTCCAGCATGTGAGCAGTGAAGATGAATGCTGAACATTGTGTGGTATTCTTCAAGGGAATGAACAAGTTCTTTGATAAGTTGGCTATATTTCATTCTGAATGTTTTGTCCTTGCAAGAACAGATGCTGAATCTAGCTGTGGATTTCTCTTTCTTATTCAGAGTACTCTATTTATAGACAAAGGGTTCACATACTGTAATGTCTAGTTAGATAGTTATTGTAGTTGGGAGAAGGAAATAGATCCATTTTATGGGTCTAGCACATCCCTCAATCATATTTCCTTGAGCCTCTGCTTAGCTCACCAGTTACCAACTCTTAATTCATGTTAAGATCATCCTTCTTATATATTCATATTTCTGTGTTTAGACCAGAACCCTACCATTTAATGTCTGGATTCATTTCAAGAGCCTCCAAATGGGCTTCCATTCCACACAACTACACTCCAATCTACTCTCTATATTTATCACTAAACTCCACTAGAAACGAAGAACCCTTAAATATCTAATGTTGCTCATCTTCCAAACCTCAGCTCATCTCCAGCTGTCCCATTGCTTGTACCATAGAATCTAATGTTGGTGACCTTCAATGGTTAATAATGTCAACTTGACTAAACTGGGAGATGCTTAATGTGTAGGAGTTCAGTTTAGTGCAGATGTAAATATGTCTGTAGGGGGAATTTTACAAGATAATCAGTTCATGATAGCTCTAACCAAGTGAGTGGATAGTTTAATCCATTGGTAGATTCAAGACTATTGGGAGGAGGTAGACCTCTGCACGGTTGAGGAAGAAGGCCAATGTGGGTGTATCCTTGGAAAGTTATATCATGGTCACTTCTGTTATCACTCTGCAATGATTCCTCTCTGCCATAATGTGCCCTTCCCTGGTTCACCACACTCAGTGACCCCGGTGGACTAGAACTCTTAAATTTGTGATCTAAAAACAGCTCCTTTTTCTAAGTTGTTTCTGATGGCCATTTTTGTCACAGCATCAAACAGAGCAGATAAACTTGCACATAAACAAGGAGGTGTCCTTGTTTTGTCAAACATTAATTTTCATAAAATTCAGGAGTAAGATGGAAAACTTACTAAGATCTTATATTAAAACGAAAAAGTAAACAAATAGCTGAGCGGGCAAGAAGTGTCTACTGGTGCTGTAGGGACATGACTGGTAGGGGTGTAACCAATGGCTTTCTGATTTGATCTGACGCCCACTCCACAGAAGACAATTCATGTCTAGTACTATTGGTTAAATGCCCATGTATGGGGAGGACATAAGCCCTACCAGGGAGGCTGTTACTTTTGTTTTGTAAAATATACATGTTGTGCCCTTGAAAAGACCTCATCTCATGAGTCCCAAAGCTAAGAATGTCCTCAGACAAAATTCAATGCCTGCAATCCTTATAACCTATCTGATGTTTCTACCAACGAATTTGAAAAAAATGCCTTGACTTAGGACTTTGTTCTGTTACTGTGAAAATTCATGTAAGTGATACAACACTGTAGTAGGGTTTTTGGGAAACCTCAATCTTCATTCCCAAGCCCTGGTCACTCATATTTTGCTCTAGAATAAACTCTAAACTTTTATTCCTTTGAAAGTAAGAGTTGTCTTTTTTGTGTCAATGGTGTGGAAGCCCCTAATTCCTCTCCCTATGTACTACGCATGTCTCCATCTTGGTGTTCTTGAATAGAATCTTTTATAATAAACTGGCATTTGTACAGAAATCACTTTCTCAGTTTTGCAATACATTCTTTTGAGATTATGCCCTTAATTTGAGATCCTATATTAACTTGTGGTTTGTACCATAGCATAATGGTAGGACACAGGTGGTGTCTACAGAATGAGTTAATGTGAGGGCAATTCCCACACATTTGTTGTCAAAGCATTATATGTAAGCAGATATAAACACTTCTTTTTTATGGGTTATGAATTGGGAAGGTTAGGGAAAGAACTTCACATATTTTCTTCAGATTTACCTTGAAGTTGAATATAACTGTGAATTAATGTACAAAGGGCAAACATTCAAGCTGGTTACTTAAGATTAATTATATATTTTCTACAAAATTTATTGTATTAGTTTTCTGTTGCTCTTCTAAGAAATCACCACAGATTGTGGCTTACAATAATACAAATATATTATCTTATAGCTTTGGAAGTTTTAAGTCTAAATTGGGTCTCAGGGTGTGAGCAAGGCTACATTCTTTGAGGAACTGCTAGGGGAGAGTCCATTCCCTTACTTTTTAAGGTTTATAGAAACGAATCTCATTCCTTGGCTATAAAGTCCCCAAGATGGCCAGTCTTGGCTGTCAACTTGACTGGATATGGAATCAACAAAAATGCAAGCTTCTGGGCACTGTGTGGACTTTCTCCAGTAAAATTGTTTGAAATGTAAATATGGGTGGCACCTTCTAGTGGTAGCCCAGAAAAAAGTCATGGAAGAAAGAGCCTTTTGCCTGCTTGTTCTCACTCTTGTTGACAAGTCCATCTATCCCTATGCTGCTGCATTCCCTCATTGATAATAGAACCAGCTTCTTTGAGTTCCCAGTATAGCCTGAAGACCATTTGCTCTTCTGGAATCCTTCAGGACTTTCATGCCAGACTGGGATTGTTGAGACATCTATCCTTGTGGATTGGGTAATTACTGGATTATTGGCTGTGCCAGTATGAAGCAGTCATTGTTGGACTACCTGGATCTTATTGTATAGTTCAATCTGATAAATCCCTTCTAAATATCAATTCATTTTATCATTCCATTCTTCTAGAGAACCCAGCATTGTCACCTTCCAAGCCCACCTATGCCCCACTCCCAAGCAGTCCAGAACGCTCTGAGCACTCAATGGCTTTTTTAGTGCGAAGTTTCAAACACCTTCACGAGACTCCCAAAACCAACATGGTCAGGCCAGTCACAACAATATCATTCCTGGTACCAAATTTTGTCCTCATGAGGATTTTTATTGCACCATGACCAAAAGTCCCACTTTCACATCACAACGCACCATAGAAGGAAGTGAGGGCAGGAACTCATTTTCCCAGCTGAGGTTCCTCTTTCCAGATAAATCTTGTTTGTGTCAGGCTGACAAGAACTAACCATGACAAAGTTCTATCTATAGAAATGAGAGAGAAATAAAGGAGAACAAGTAGCAAACGTGTAGTTTTCCCTGCGTGCAGATGATGTGAGGTTTTATGTCAGAGTCTGTAAAGACTCCCTCAGAAACCTCCTAGAGCTGATCAATATGTTTCATAAAGTGACAGGAAAGAAGTGAAAATTAATGACAATCAGGAGCTTTCCAATATGCCAGTGATAGGCACACCAAGAAAAAAAAATATCGGGGAAACAATTGTAGTCACTTTAAAACATTTCCATTTCTCTTTAAAGAGGGAGGAGGAGGGGGGAGAAGAGGGAGGGGGAGGGGAAAGAAGAAGGAGGGGGAGGAGAGAGAAGAGAGAGTGGAGGAGGAGACAGAGAATGAATAACCTTGGAATAAACTTAAGCAAGAAGGCAAATGCCCTTTACAATAAAACCTTATAAAAGTTATTATTATTATGTGTGTGCCTTTTCCATGGTATGTGTGGCTCTCTAAACAAGACTCAAACAAGGAGGACATCAGTGGATTTGCTAATGTGTAGGGGGGACAAGCTTACAAGGCCTCAACTCTAGACAAAGAACTACGGTCAATCAAGCAATGTCGACAGTGGGCGACATAGTCTTCCCTGGGTAAGAGGACATCAGTTGGTTATCCAATACCAAATGGACAGTCCTAGAAGATGTACCTAGAGGAAATATTATACAGGCTGAGTGGGTTGTTACCTATATACAAATATACATGTATATATAACAACAGTTAAAGAAAAAAGGCCATGAGTTTTAAAGAAAAAAAGTGGGGAGGATATATGGGACAGTTTGGAAAGAGAAAAGGAAAGGAGAAAATTATGTAATTACAATCTCTAAAACTAAACTTAGTTTTTAAAGCCACACTAATTTGACCAGGAATCTTCCGATTGGTAGTTGCTATAAATACCTTGGCTAAGATATTCCTGTGGTATATTCACTTATAAGTGCAATTTTGGACACAGGTTTTTGTGACAACTGGAAGTTACTGCAGTAGTTTTATCAGGTAGTGTTTGCTATAAATGTTCAAAGTTACAATAGAAACATTTTAGTAATCAAAATATGACTACTACAAAATGAGAAAACTAAGGCAGACAGAAGGCCTGCTTTCCTAGAAAAGGAAAAGATTTTCTGAAAGGGACTAGTACCAAAATGCCACCTCTGATACCTGCCTCGTTGGTAGCTTCCCTCCATCTGGGAGAATAAAGCTATTTATACTTTTGAGAGAGTGTTTTCAATGTTTATCATTAAGTTTTTAAAAAAAATTATATGTCTGAACACAGTACCTTTTGCCTCACAGGGGATATCTTTAGGTATTATGGTTTCAGAATATTAGCAGCCCCTTCAGGAAACTCTTAACCTCTCTCTCCTTGCATTCATTTAGGTGGAAGAAAATGAACATTTTTGTTGTTGTTTGTATAGATGTTTAAAACCAGTCTTTGGATAAAGTATACTATTTCTCTATCTATACTACAAAAGTAAGGTGAAACAGTGAGCAAAACTTGTTATTATTATTATTGTATGTGTATTTGTGTGTGGGGGTGGGTGGTTTGTGTGTGGGTGTGTGAGTGAACACATGTGTCTGCACCTTGGCATGTGCAGAATCAGGGGAGGTGATTCACTCCTTCCATCTTTGTGTGTGGTGAGCACCTGTACCCGATGGTCCGTCTTGTGGAATCTGCGATGAAAACTTGAAAGCATCTGATGTTTTCTTCAGCAAACGTGGCTAGAAAGAGGAACACTGGGCCTTCATTCAAGCCCTTGGGGATTCAATTGAAATACTGCTCCCTCTGCTGGCAGCTTATTAAATACCATCTTCAAGTCGATGTCCAATGTGGTTTGGAGCCAGTGTTGAGGGCTAGGTTTTTGGAAGATCTTTTCATTTTTATTCTCTTCTGATTTAAAAGTAGAGGAGAAAAATGGATAAAGTTTATTTTTGCCCTAATGAAACATTTTTATAAATCTTTCCATATTTTTCATTTTTATTAATTATACAAAATAATGCTTTTTTATGACATTTCGTACACTATGTAGTACAAAACCCATCATCCTCAATATTTTATTATCATAGCAGGTGACAGGTGCTATGAAGGGGGAAATGGGAAAAACGAGGAGTACGGAGGGAGTGGGGGGAGGAGGGGGAAGGAAATAAGAGGGAGAGGGAGGAGTGAGGGATAAATTCTAGGGTACTTGAAAAAGCCATAGGGAAAAATACAAATAAATACAAATAATACTATGTACAAAATTACACATCACATCTCACAGAGAGAGAGAGAAGAGAAGAGAAGAGAAGAGAAGAGAAGAGAAGAGAAGAGAAGAGAAGAGAAGAGAAGAGAAGAGAAGAGAAGAAGAGCAAGTAAGCCAGTATGGGTGACTGAACAATATCTCAGTACCAGGAATAAAAACCTTCCTAGTTGTTGGTCAGGGAAGTCCAAGAGACTGCCAAATAATATGAGCAATATAGTTGTTTATTCTTGCCTTCTAGAATTTGAAGGTATGTACCTATTGCTGAAGACACCTCACAGTTTGCACATAAAACTTGAAGCTATTGAGCTGGAACAGACCCGGAAGCCCTCTCCCTCAGGACTAGCTCGTAAAGTGCTAGAAAGTACTATACGAGCTGCCAAGTGAGAAGGACATTCAAGAGTCCTACTCATCTGTGATGCTGATAAGTACAGTGACCAGCACAGCAAAGATATTCTATCTTCAGACGGCCCCTCCTTCAGTTTCTGTCCCTCACTTTGTCTCCATATTTGCTCCCTTGAGTATTTTGTTGCTCCTTCTAAGAAGGACCAAATCACCCCCACTTGGTCTTCCTTCTTCATGAGCTTCATGTGGCCTGTGAGTTGAATCTTGGGCATTTCAAGGTTCTGGGCTAATATCTAATAATCAGTGAGTGAATACCATGTGTGTTCTTTTGTGATTGGCTTACCTCACTCAGGATGATAATTTCTAGTTCCATCCATTTACCTAGGAACCTCTCGAATTCATTGTTTTTAATAGCTGAGTAATACTCCATTGTGTAAATGTACCACATTTTTTGAATCCATTCCTCAGTTGAAGGACATCTGGGTTCTTTCCAGCTCCTGGCTATTATAAATAAGGCTGCTATGAACATAGTTGAGCATATGTCCTTGTTATATGTTCGAGCATCTTCTGGGTATATGCCTAGGAGTGGTATAGCTGGATCCTCAGGTAATGCTATGTCCAATTTTCTGAGGAACCGCCAGACTGACTTCCAAAGTGGTTGTACCATCTTGCAGTCCCACCAACAATGGAGGAGTGTTCCTCTTTCTCCACACCCTTGCCAGCATCTACTATCACCTGAGTTTTTAATCTTAGCCATTCTGACTGGTGTGAGATGGAATCTCAGGGTTGTTTTTATTTGCATTTCCCTGACGACTAAGGATATTGTACATTTCTTTAGGTGCTTCTTGGCCATTCGAGTTTCCTCAGTTGAAAATTCTTTGTCCATTCCAACTGAGTAT